ACTCATTCTCACACTGAGCATTCTCACACTGAACATGCAGCTCTAGTTTCATGCAAGGCAAAGAAGGAAAAAGAAAAAAATTAATTCAATCAATTTACTATGCATGCATGGCCTGGTTTTAAAATAAATCACTGTTGTCCTTCCACATATTTCTCCAGCACTTAACTGATAAAAAGATTTACAGCAAACCATTTTTATTTTTAAAGGACATTTGGGAAAAATAGTTCCCTGAAATGAATCTGTTACCACTGGCTGATTCCCCCTTTAAAGTATGATGACTACATATTTGGGATTACTGCTAGTCTTGCTGCACTTAAACATGTGCTGAAGATTTAAAGACATCTCAGGTGGTCTAAACCTCTTGCCACCCAGCCTGATTTTGGTTTTAGTGTACTATAAATAAATGTCAGAAACCACACATTGTTACTAAACAGCACTGTGGTAACTCTTAGGACTGGCAGCAAGTCAGTGGGAATGGTCTGTTAAAATGAACTGGAGTAAGGCTGTGAGACTGTTTTTCAAGGCAAAACTACCCATCACGGTAGCCCAGCTCTGCCCCTATACATCATTTGGTCATGGAAGGTGTGATTAAAGACTCTATGCTAATTGCCTGTCAAGTGTATACGAATGCAATAAATGATAATGAGAGTTCGCACACTCAATTTTTTTAGAAGTGGAAGCATTAGGTAATATTATTCACACTGATTTTTCAGAACATCAGATTTGTAGTAAGGTGCCTTTACCATAAATGTACAGTATTTTCAACAGGATCTGGAAAAATGTTAGAGACTCTTTTGGCTTTAAAGAGGCCATAACCTGTTAAACACTAACTTTTCCTAATGAATCGCAGTCCCGGAAACACCTGTGCTAAAGAGCTTTGTGCTGCTCTTTGAAAGCTGGCAGAACATTCCCACATTTGCTGAATAAAACTTGGATGAAAATCTTCTCAATGACTTTTTGAGGCATTACCTGCCACTTCTGCGCAACTGTCCCTCACCCTCCTCTTTGTTTAGCGTAACTGAAATAAGCAAAATACTGCAGCTGAAATACTGGCAGAGTGGAGCACGATGAAAGGGAGCCTAAGGACTTTGCTTGTCTGCAGAGAAATGGTTGTTGAGATATTATGCATGGTTATACATTTGTACCAAAATCACACAGGAAAAGCAGAGCAAAAATATTTTTCTTTGATTTTGGAGGTTACTTTTCTTCTGTGATTTGTCTAAACCCTAACCTGACAAATTGGCAGGAGGAGATAAGGATGAGTTCCTACCCCCTACGATTACCCACACTCTATTCTCCTCCTCCCTCACTCTTCACTCCCGCACAGAGGAAGGAGAGGGGGAAAAAAAAAAAAAGGAGAGAGATGATTTTCATCTTAAATTCTGCTGAGAATGTGAAAAATCTGAAGGAGACTGCAACTGTGTTAAGCTTGTTGCTGAAGGTGACCCAACAACCACCTTTAGGATTCTGGATTTGTTGCAGTTGCTCATAAGGTCTTTGAACTACCCTTTCTTTTGGCTCCTATTCTTTGAACCAGCAGGAGATTGCAAAGGACAAGACTACAACTTACTGATGTGTTCAGAGGGCTGCAATCTTGTGAATTCTGTTTCCCGCTGGCATGAAGAATGGGACAGAAGAGAAGAGCAGAGTAGCAGTACAACATGCCATGACAGTATCAAACCTCTGTGCCCTGGATGGTTTGTTTGATCACCTTTTTAAGGAGCTGCAATTTTAATGTTATTGTGACCCTTTTTCTAGGTCAGTGGAAGACGACTTCCGTCCTCACTCCTACCCTGCTTATTCTTTCCCTGTTATCTAAAGAGGAATGTATTTTTTCAGGTCTGGTGGTAATGAGAGTAAGTCCCCAAAAGGGAAAAATTTAGTGAGACGTGGGGAAGAAAATAAATCAGCAAAAAATGTCCACAGTGAAACCTGAAACTCAAAGGTTGCTTCCTTGCTATTTTGTTACAGAGTAAAGATCCAATTACATGTGCTGAAAGGTCTGATTAGGCTTGCAAATATTTCCAGCTATGTAGGCCTAGCTGTGGTGAAAAAATGTTGACTTGTTTATGGTATTGCAGGAATTTCATGTGAAATTAACTATTTTTTATGGAAAAGTGTTATGAGACTAGGCATTTATTAATAGATCTTTCTTTAAAGTCTAAGTAATTGAGTTGTAATTTTTTTTTAAATTTGTAGAGCGAGAAGAAACAGGCTGTATTCAAATGAACCTCTGGAACATGCAAGCTCGAGTGCTGCTGTCCCACTGGGATGGGTCATGCAGACAAACAGCACTGAAGCACCATGCGCTTCAACATGTCTCGCTTGTGTAACTCTTGCCAATTTACTTTTATTTCATATCTTTTGCAATCTTAGGGCCCAGCCTTGCAGAGAAGGTATAAACAGTTATCTGTATAATCTTCAGGAGCAGTAAGTAGTACCTGAAGAGCAGGGGAATTTCACCCAGTGCAAGAATGCTTCTTTAGAGCCTACAAGCAAATGTGTCACAGAAGGAATAAGATCAAGTCTGTCAGCTCAGTATCTTATTAACATGATGATAGCTGTTCTCAAGACAACGTTTTGGTTTTACTGTATGTATTGATGAATTAAAAAGTAGTAAGCAGGGAACCTTAGATTTATCTCATCTCTGCTACTGCTAGTGCAGAGCTTTGCTTATGCCAACGCATAATGTGGTGGTGACTGCTGCGGCCAGCTTCAAGGCCATAATCTTGTCAGTTTTCTGACAGACTTAAATTTGGTGTGCATTATAGAGCAGTTCCTTAAATAGCTTTTAGCGAGCATGTTTTCCTGCTTCCTGTGATTTTTATGTCTCTGCATACATAAATATTGCTCGGTGGAAAAATACTAATTAGACAGGTAATTAATGCTGAATTTTGACTTGCAGGCTCTAAGAACTGTTTGCATGTAGTATTAAGATGAATTTACTCTTTCAGTCTGCATGTACTCTCTACTTTTTACTAGTGCTACTGCACTAAAGCTCCTTGTATATTAGTATATCAAGCCGAAAACGACGGGACAAAAAAAAGGAAAGAAAGCTTTATGATTTTAGGCACAAGTCATGTATATTAGAAATCTAGATTTTATTGGTCTACATACTTTGTAATTGTTATGTGACCTTATCCAAGTTTCTTGGAGTTAACTCAATGTACAAGTAAGTCAGTAAAAAGTTCGTATTTGTTTCAAGTGAAATTGGACTGGGACCTTAATCTACCTTTCTTCTCTGAACTTTTGAGTTAATATTTATTTACCATGTGCACATTATCAAACTGATTGTATTCTTTACTACACCCAAAACGTAGGAGCTGAGTGTGCCAGCGGGTACTTTGGTCCTTTAAAAGAAGGTAGAAATAATTATCCATGTCTATCAAGTATTTTAGCACTAACTACAGCCTAAGCAGTAATAGTCTTTTTTTCTCCCAGTTTTCTTTAATGACATTTGCTATTGAGAGCTAATAGTGCTGCTTTTTTTGCCTAGAGTAAATTACAGCCTCACTAAATCATTAGGGCTGGGTCCCGTAGCCGTAAGATTATTGATTTTTGTGTTAACAAGCAGAAAATGCTAATCGATTACGTAAAGTGGTTTGATGGTTTATTGCTTGCTTTTCCAATAGTGATATGACTTTCAGGAGGACGATTTTGACCACTGGATAATACTGCAGGTAAATTTTTAACATATCTTTTGCTTCTGCTCAAAGAAGTCTGAGGGAAGTGATTGTGTTTCTAAAGTCAGAAATATGGTGTTGGTAAACTAGCAGTAAGAGACCTATGTGCAAGGTGCATCATTGCAGTATATGATGAAGTAGCTGCACAATGGATGTTATTACATGCAATGTGCTATGAAAAGTATACCCATAAAAGAGAGCCCCGCTCTGTGAAGTGAGGTTCATATTTCAATACTAGTAACGTGTACAAAATGCAGGAGCGCAAATGTTGCAACGTGGAAATTAATATGCATTGGTGGTCTTCAAACAGTGGTGGTACTGTGTCCGCTAGAGTCTGGAGTGTCTGCTGTGAGCTTCCATAAAGCTCACTGGCCTTTCATGTAGTGTGTTCCATAAATCAGTATGGTTTAAAAAGTGCTGCCCTCTTGAACACCTGCTTATCTGTCTTGAGAAAATTCTGTAGTGTTTTAAACATCATTTTATGACATTATAAGTAATGCTTGCTCTGGAAGCACTTGGAAGAGCTGTTAAAGTTAAGGGTCTATCAGCACTTCTATTATAAAACTTGATTTCAAGGGGTTTATAACTCAGCTATTTAAAAATGCATTCAGCTGAAACCTGGTATATGACTCGTGTGTTTTTTTTTTTTTTAAAGTTGGACACGTTATTTCAGGTGGTCTTTTATCTGTGGTAGATGAAGAGGGGGAGATTGGAGGTATAAATATTTTTCCTTACAGGTGAAATTTTTTCTTACAGGTGATGAGCCCTGAATGTAGATATTTCATTTCCATACCAAATGGCTTTCTGGTTATGCATTTGTGAAAGGTCTTATACTGGAACATGAATTAATTGCTTACAGTTATTGTATTCTAGTGTGTGTATTCTTAATGTTCACATACGTATTTTGTATGTTTGACTATATTAAGATATGCTTTTATTATTTCTTTGATTTTAACAAATGGTAATAGCTAGATGCTTCCTATAATGGAAGGTAACACTGAACTCTAGTTTAGGGTTTATAATGATTCTGTTGTCACTACACTTTTATAGAAAGTCTATCAAGTGACATCTATATCCTCTGCATTAGTAGATCAATGCTGTACTTTGTTGATCCATCCTATTTGGTACTTGATAGGGGAATGATGGGATTTGAAACGTGCCTGCAACGTAGCTGTTGTGGGGTTGCCAGATCTGACTTATCTTTGTGAAGAAATTAATCTGTGAAGAGGGTTAAAGAGTAGTGTTATGAAATGAAGTTCTAACTGCTCTTGTTTAGAATTATAAAGCTCCAGCACATGTACCTGAGCCACAGCAAAATGGGATAGAGAAAGAAACAGTCTTGTTCTGTCTCAGATGCTTATAAGCATTCCAGACTTTATATATAAAACAGCACTTTGCAATTCACCTGGAAACTCACTGATATAGATCCAAGATGAGAAACACAATGTACTCGCAGCAGAAAACACTGCTAGGTAAGTAGGCTATTGCATTGTATGCCGTCTTTCAAAATTATCATTGAGCTACAGCTCTATTTGAAGGGCAGGGCAACAGAAAGTTGCAGTATGGGGATAGCTCAGCTGAAATGCTATTCAGTTATTGGTTTTTTGGTAAGGTACTTGGTTGTGCCATTGTTTTATGACTGTATCTTCTTTAATACATCATGTTGGCATTTAAATGTCCCAGATTATGCAGGATAGAAAGGCATTTGTATTAGGTTTGGTGAAAGTTGATTTAGGATTTTACCTAGTGTTTTTTATCTCTTCCCACTTGTTCTTTCAACTTAAAATCTGGATAATTCTAATTCAAAGTAGATGTTTGCGCTTTGTGTATGAAGTTATATTATGTAAAGGCCGCTTGAAGTATTTTGCATTCCCTTAATGAAGGAAAAGGGAATGAAGAAAAAATGTTCTCTTAAGGTAGTCTGAATCTGTCTTTACCTGAATTCAGTCAGTTGGCTACAGAGCTGTAGTTCAAGCAATATCTTTTTATCTTGTTTTAAGTTCCCTTCAACAAGCTGTGCATCACATAATCACAGATTTAGAAGGGTCTTCGCTAGATTTCAGAGCTAGTACGGCTAATTGTAGGAAGCTTTTGGTGAGGAACTGAGGCAGTCTGGATAGTAGGTAAAAGCCTGGGCCGGGGGGCAGATGTTTCATTTTCCCTTTTGGGCAGCAGCAGCAGATAAAGCTCCAGCACAAACTTTTGTAGTTCCATGTGTGACTGCATGTGCACACATGTATATTTAGCTCTAAGTAGTATATAGAGCTAAAGTTGCATGCATAATGGAAATACGCCTTGTTTGTTTATTGGAAGTTTGTGACTTGTAGCCCCTCTTTCTGCTTAGCCATTTGACTTAGACTATTCAGTCAGAGATAACTCTATCATAGCGTTGTTCAGTGAATACAAATGAAAAATTGATAGTGCTTCTCACTGTGTAGAATTTACTTGTATTTTCCTATGTTATTCTTACACTTTTTCCAGTTGGAACAAAATCAGCTTTGTCTCATTTTTGTGTTGCATTTAAATTTTATGCTATTGGATTATGTATTCCTTACAGGATTTTAACAGGGCTAGAAAATAACAGCTCCCAGTTATCTGGGAGCCTCTGTACCCCAGAGGCCTGCCAGTTTACGGAGACAAGCGTTCAGTGTCTGTATTTCACATCACCTGCAGCTTTTTTGCAAAGCGCAATCCAGCTGAGCTTGAACCAAAGATGCTTGGTTACTCCTTGGTTAGGGAGATGCACTAAATGACCTCTAAAAAGCTGTCTAGTCCTTTCACACTGTGAGCACATTGTTTGAGAAGGGCATGTAAAAAGTGAGTCAGTGGGACCCAGATCAAAGTAAAGGACACTGACAACACAGTGATCCTTCTCTCTTGATCTGGCCTGCTATGAGGACTTTCATGTACAGCAGGAACAGAGCTGTATACCTCAGTTGACAGTCTAGTGAAGTTTCTTAGTGAAACAATTTTGGTTTATTTAAAAAAAAAATCTATTGCTGCTATTCCTTTCTTAAACAGGATTGTGAGAGCAGAAGGTATGAATGGCCTGGAACATGCAATATGATCAACATCTAAGTGATATTAGGTTAATTTTCATGGAGAGACTGGAGCTAGTGGTGTAGGTGGTTAAGAGACTTACCAACTTTGGGAGAAAGGGAGCTTAGGGTTTCACTGGTTTGTGTCCAGTGCTGTAGTTTTAGAGGCATTTTCTTCTGCTGTGGGGTTGCTGTTGCTTTAATTGACTTTGCTACCTTGGCTCTGAGTAATGTGTGTAGGGGAAGCGTGTGTGTGAAAGTAGCAAAAAAATCTAAACGGGCATTTAGTGATTTATGCTAGCTGGTTGTTCCTAACAAACTTATTTAAAGCTGGGATTACAGGCTTAGCAAAAGCACGAACACATAGCTAACTATATATCAACTGTACAGTGTTTACAACTGTGATACTGCTGCTGGTATTACAGCAGTGTCCCAGACAGAATGTGTCATAAATTTCCCAAGTTATACTTAAGTGGAAAGTCTTTGGTCCTGGCAGTGATTGCCCCTATGTACTCTTGTTTCATAGCTCTCCCTTCTTGAAGGGGGGGAAAGGAAAAGGGAGAAAAAGAAATTCTGTTGTTAGCAAGCCTCTGGATCCTAATTCAGCAGTTTGTTGTTAGTTATCTGAATCTAATACTTGTTCCCATTCTTAGTCAGTGAGCTTTCCTTCATAGTATTCAAAAAAGGTGATTCTGGGTCATGATGCATGTCCAATGCCTACCCCTCTAAACTCCTGATCTTCTTTAGTTACTGATTTTCTGCTCAGTCACTAGGCAGTGAAATATCTGTTTGGCTGAGAGAGTTGGTTTTCTGCCACAGGCCTGGAAACTGCTCATCTGCCCTAGGTTCCAGCCTGGAATATTTATCGTCACTGTGGCTTCTTCAGGTTAAGACCACAGTGCAATCTGACTGTACCAGTTACCAGAAAGCTAAGGCAGAGGTGAACGCTAATTCTCATCTCTGGTTTGGTAATCTGTGATGCCAGGGTTTCTAATCAACCTTCTATAGGGGCAAAATACAGATTTAGGCTATCTGTAGTTATTATCAGCCTGTGGCTTTGTAGTATAGAAGGTAAGAGGACCAGAAATAATAATGATAAATGCTCTGTCATTGTATCGGCAGTAACTTTTTCTCTGCAACACTGGAAGGGAAAGGGCACAACAGTAGTGGTCAACTAGGCTGGCACATGGGTAAAAAACACCTATGGCCAATAGCATGCTGTGAGCTGTTCAGCTTTCTCTCAGTAGCCTTAGTTTCACGTTTTTCATTTCCTGTGCTGTGGTCAGTGCTGGAAAGCCTTTAGTTTGGTCCCCCAAGCAAGATCCTTGGTTTGGGGACCACTGAGGATGACAGATCTTACAGCTAGCCAGTAAGTTGCAGACCCCAACAGTACCAGGGTTGCTGGTACTGCTGTCCTCCCCTAAAGTCCCCCAGACGGTTCTGGCCTGACTGATCTATAATCTGTATATGAGCTCCTGGTATGGAGATGCACTTTTGAAAGGTGTACATGTGGTCCAGTGCTTAGTCCGCAGCCTCGCCTAACCTCTCTGCATATGACAAATTTCTTTCCCATGGAGGCTGGACTCACTGTGGCATTCACTGCAGTTCCTATTTGCTAGTGTTTTATCCTCTTGCAGCGGGTGGTTTTTTCCCCGATTCTTAGATGAGGTGAACGTTTATACTCAGAAACGGAACACCTCAATTACGTAACTCTAATCGCTGAACATCCATCACTGGCATCCAAAACTGATCCACTTTTGATGATTCTTTTATCTGAAGTTGGAGCCTAAAAATTGCCTTTAATGTTCAGTGAAGCACCTGGCTACTCTGGATTAGTTCCAGCTCTTCTGTCATAAGGAATCATCTGATTTCTGTTCAGTCATGTGTTTATCAGCTAGCGTTTATCCCCTATTTTCAGGAACATTAAGAACAGTCACAAATTAAAAACTGAGAAGGCTATAGGAAAGATGAAGAAATGGAATATATTTATATTTTAGCTGCCCAGTACAAAACTGGAAATGCTGTAAGTCAGCACTTTAACCAAAACACCTGCTTTGGAATGGTGATGTGTTCAGCACAGGCTCAGGAAAGGTGCAAGTGAAAATGTTCCAGATGGTAGTAGCTGCTGAATACCATATTCTGTATTCACTTCATTTTATGCATATGTATTCTCAGGTCATTCTCTCATTTTTTAACTAATGGAGGAAATGACTTATGTTTCTCTACATAACATACTAAGAACATGGAATGGCCATTACATCATCTGATTTTCTGTATGCAAAGTACTTTATAAAAAAAAAAAACAACAAACAAACATGCCCATTGAAGACTCCCACTTTAGATAGGCCCTTTGAGAGGGCTTTCCAGTTACTTCTGCAGAAACATCCCTTTTTTCTTTTTCTTTTTTTTTTAAAAGAACTGGAATTTACAACAAGAGGGAGGAAAATAAAGAACAGGGAAGGGTAGGGCAAGAAGGCTTAATTTGCACTGTTAAGGATATAACATGCATGTGATTATGCAAGATAGATAGGATGCTACTGGGATATCATGTATGCCTTGGTGGGGTACAGGTTCTTCAATGTGATAGGTAGGCGAGATGCATCCAGTAACTTCTTTAATCTCTGTACTTTCGTGTCCAATGAATGCTTCTCGTTGTGGGTCCAGAGAATATTTCCCTGTTCTTTGTTCTGGCCAACCTGAGATACCTCATCTGCAATACCTAGTTTGTAATTGAGATCTATGGACACAAAAAATGCAGCTTCCTTTTTTTCCTTTTCTACTTGCACCTGTGTGGCAAAAATACCTTAGTTCTGTTGTCCTTGAAGTCCCTCAATCCCAGGGCATTATTCCCCCTATTTAGCCGTTCTTCTGAGTTTACAAGCCAGGTTCTGAAACGTTAAATGTCAATCATATTTGTTCCTTCCTGCCAGAATAGTAGTACACAAGTAGCTTAGCTGTGCTCAAAATTATTCATAAAAATTGTCTTAACCCTTAAAGCTGTTTTTGGATTAGAAATTGGGAATGAAACCATGCATTCCTCAGGCTTTCTGAGGTTTTGTTTGCCAGGTCTGCAGCGGGAAAAATAAGGAACTAATATTCAGCTGTTCTTATGGGTAGAAAGTGTTTTTTGGTGTTCTGAAGTAGTGTGTGTGTGTACATGCATGTGGTTGTGCATGTGAACACAGCATGTTCACCTTTGCACTTGCAGATTATATTAGGAAGAGATGTGTGCAAGATTCTGTTTGAAAGTAGGACTTTGATTCTTTGTCACATGGGGTTTTGCTTTCAAGATTCAGACCCAGATTTAAACTAAGATATTTGAGAGCTCTCTATGCAGAAAGATATTTGTAGTATCGGGGACAGCATAAGACTGGTTGGTTTCGCAAGTATGATAATTGAATATGGTGAGATACACCAGGCCTGGGTGACCTTTC